GATTGCTATCCAATAACTGTTGCTGGAAGTAATGCGTGCTTGGATATGGTATCCACACTGTGACTTTCAGCTCATAGTTTAGTCTGACGTTCCTGGGGGACTGCTGCATTGTTGAGTTGCCTTCCTATTGATAGGATGCTATACCCAGATTCTGTCGGTCTGATTAGGTGGATGTTACAGATTCTCCTGTTGTCCTGTCCAACAATCGTCTGGTTAAAAATGTTCATTCACTTCATAGCTATTTGTGCAAATTGGCTGTTGCATTTGCCTAAATACACAGTCACTACACTTTACAGTGAATCCAGTGAAGCGCTTTGAGATGTCTTGCTGACATGATAAGGCACTGTGTCAAATGGAAAGATTATTAAGATAATATTATTACTTTACAGAAAACTGGCTTCAAAATTAGGGTTCTGTTTAAGAATTTAAGAGTAAATCTAGACTCAGATGGAATTTCTCCCCAAGAGTGAGGCAGGGTCAGACTGAATAATAGCCATTTGCTGATGCATCTAGTATTGGATGAAAAACACGCTCTGTTCTAGCATACCATAGGACTTTAATGAGACTGCCATAGTTTAATTTACCCTCGCAATTTTTCCTTATTTTTATTTGCAAAGGTTTTTGTTGCTGTCATAATAAGACTAAATCTAATGTTAACGATGTTCCTCGAATGATCAAATCTCTGTTGCATCAAACTTGTCTATATGATTTGCAATTTTTTTGCTTGAAAATGACAATGTGCAATTGGTGTATGATTTTGTTTTCATTCCTTATTGCTGAACAAAATACCTTTTTGGCAGGGTTTTCTGCACATTTTAGTTCAGATGGAGCACAACATCAGAGCTCTACTGCTCTTCAGAGTCCTGTAGCTCAGTGGTTAGAGCACTCGCTTTGCAAGCGTGAGACCTGAGTTCAATTCCAGGCAGGGCGAAACCTTGGGCAAGTTTCCTTACTCCACACAGAGCCTAATAATAATCCCTCCAAAACCAAAAACAATAATAAATTGGTCATTTTCAATCTACGACTGTTTGTGGGACATTGCTGTGCGCAATTGGCTGCCGCGTTCGCCCACAAATATACAGTCAATTCACTTTACAGTGTGTTCTGTGAAGCGCTTTGGGACGTCCTCCCGACGTGAAAAGCGCTATATCAAATGCAAGGATTATTATTATTATTATTACACAAGGTGCACACGCACACACAATATTTGCCCACGTGGGACTCCTGGATTTCTCCTATGCCTTCAATCTCTAGTGTGGACAATTCCCTGAAGTCAGAAAACAAAAATGAAAGCTTCACTCATTCTTTACTGTTCTCACACACCTCCTAGTGATCACATACAGAATTACTAGATAGAAACCCAAACAGCAAATCTCCGGGTCATGACCATTATGGGGATAGCTGATGATGCGTCGTGTTGAGAAGCTTGAAAAGGAAATAAATAGAAAATAATTACAATAAATGGGTTAAACCTCTTAGTTGAAACGGCCAGTTGTTTTTGTTTCCACTTAGCTATCCTTGTCAGTACCTTGCCAAAGTAACAATTTTTCTCATGTGAAACTAGACAGTGAATGTGGACAGGATGTTATATTGTGGGGAAACTCACAGCTAAACCTTGACTTGTTCACTTTCTAGCAGATAGATACTGTGTAGTGATAGAATCTGGCTCCTTGACTGACTTCATCATTCCGGCCTTAGCCCGAAATAACTAAGAGCCAATTCTAATACCTTATTATCAACTAACTCAGCACAGACTGTACATGGGATCTTGGTGGTCTTGTTTTAATTCACCTTTGAGCATTTTTTTTTTGCTAACTGGGCCAACTGGTGGAGTACTGCAGTGTATTTGTTAGAGCCTCACAAGCGAGAGGACCCGAGTTCTCAGGCAGGGCGAAACCTTAGGCAAGTTTCCTGTCTCCACACGCCTCTGTTTGCCTAGCAGTAAGTAGGGTGTTAGTCGATAGCAACCGGTTGTTAGTCGATTGGCGGATTGCTTTCCAAGGCTAATAATTCCTCAAAAATAAATAAATAAAATTTGGTCACTCAATCCATAACTGTTTCTGAGGCACTGCTGTGCACAATTGGCTGCTCCATTTAGCTCACAAAATACACAGATAATTCACTTTACAGTATATTTTGTGAAGCGCTTTGAGACAGGTGTAATAAGGTGTAATATCAAATGCAAGGATTGTTATTAGACATGTACTTTTTACATTTTCTGATGAAAAGCTTTTGCATGAACAATTAGCTCAGTTTTAACAGATGTGGTTCACACATCAAACATATTCAATATCTCAAATGTCTGTTTATCTCAGAACCAACTGGAGGAAACCTTGTTGGACCCAGTGAAACGAAAAAAATATCAAAAGCAAATGACAGTCTTCATTGTTGGTTATCAAGAAGCCTGCGGTCAAAGACATATAATTCTATCTCAGCTCAGTGAGGTAATATTTCGCTGGTAATTGTTGTTTCAGTGCGTGATGTTTGAGGTATGAGTATTCTATGCAGCTGCAGTACATTTAGAGCTAAGAATTTAAGCCATACAATGGGGAAGGAATATAATAAAAACAAGTAAACCCAATGTTTACAGTCCTTCTATGGAAATGGATTGGCATTCCCACAACCTATATCAGGAAACCAGCTTTATAGTTGGTTTCCTCTGTTTTTCACTGGGGCTGTTTACAGCTGATGTGTAGGAGAGAACTGGAAGTGTCAGAGACCTGGAGCAGAGTGCTCATTGCTAAGGCAAGTCAGAAAACTTTACGTCAATATTAATTATTTAAGAAACAAATTTGCAAATGATCCTTAGAGCATTTCTTGTCTTAATTAGCGCAAGTGTGTTTGTGTGCCAGCTTGGCTCAGTTGGTAGCACTCTCACCTCTGAGTTAGATGGTTGTGGTTTCAAGTCCCTCACATCAGAACTTTGAGCTAGTACAGTCTGGGCTGTCACTCCAAGCTAATGTTCGAAATGTGCTGCAATGTTAGATGTGCCGACCTTCAAATGTGCAAATCCCCCAAATAAAATTTGTCATTTGTTTCATAGCTGTTTGTGGGACATTGCTTTGTGCAAGCTGACTGCCACATTTGTCTATAAATACAGTCACACATTACAATATATCCTGTGAAAAGCTTTGACGACATATCAAATCCAAACATTTATTATTTTATAGAAAACTCAAATACACAGTTCCTACCTTCAAATGCCCGGTCCCTAACATCAAATACACATTCCCCAATATCAAATACTTAAGTCCCTACTATTAAACACAATTATTATGAGGATCATTTGAAGAAACATGGAAATTCTTTGCACTGAAATTTAGAATGGCTGGATGTTATGCTAAACCTGCATAGGAGACCAGTCAGCAGCTGAATAGGTTTTCATTTAAAATCATCCAAGTGTAATAGTTTATGAAATCAATAGTAAATGTGACTAATTTGCCAAGTCTCCCGATGCAGTCCCTTATTGTTAAGTGAAATGATGGTTGACATTAATGGTATTCCCATGCGAGTTATAGCAAGTGACAATTCATGATAATGAGGCATGGCCGATGACTGATTTCAGTCGGCGAAAGTCAGTATTTGTTTTTCCAATGCTCCCCATTTCAAGGAAAACAAATTTGGTTTAGCATCTTTCACATCAGAATGATGTCTCAAAGAGCTTCACAGGAGCTGTGCAGCCTCACTGCACTGTAAAGTGTCCCACAAACAGCTATGAAATGATTATCCAAATGAGTATCCAAATTCTGTTCTTTCGAATAGAGGCATGGAATTTTTAATGTCCAGCTGAATAGGCAAATAGGGCCTTGGTTTAATGTCTCATCTGAAGTCAACAGCTCGGATATTGCAAGACCGGCACTGCTTTGGAGTATCAGCCTAGGCTATGAAAATAGCCAGCCCTCATAACTCCTCTCTTCCAGCAACAACACAGGGATTAATGTAATATAACATTACCTTCATGCAGCTCAGTACTGTTGAAATTAAATAGCTCCTACTTTTATTAAATGAGAGGCTACAAAATAATTGCCCTTCCCTGAGCCATTTAACAGCTTGTACGTTTGCCAGCATCCACAGTTATTTTCTCTTGCAAGAATCTGGAATGCAGAATAGCTAAAAGATTGTTGTCAGTTATATTTGTGAAATATAGACACAAAACTGGTGCTCGACTAGGTAATTTTTAGCCTGATTTCACAAAAATAACACAAATTGCCTGCTCCGATCATGTGCAACATGCGTTAATTAACGGAGTCTCCCATGGGGAATGGTTAGCAGAAAGTTTATCTGCAGCTGCTCTATAAACTGCATTTCAAGGTGGAAGTTGCAGTATGTGTACAGCTGGTGAGCTTCAGAGGATGCTGCAGTTTTTTGAGTGGTTACCAAACTCACCAAGCATGTATGCTGAATATAACATGTTTTTTTCTTTTGTTCAGTTTTTCAGTAAGCACGTGGACTTCTTTGCATCAGAAGAAGAACGATTAAATGAACTTGAATTAGATGAGTTTGAACTTGAAGATATATCAGAAAAGGTAAATGTTTCCGATAAGCATAATTGACAGATATAAAAACAGAGAGAGCTGGGAAAACTCAGCAGGTCAGGCAACATCTATGAAGAAAGGAAAGTGAGTGAACCTTTCGGGTCCACGACTCTTCGTTTGACAAAGGGTTGTGGACACCAAACGTTGACTCACTTTCCTTCCTTCATAGATGCTGCCTGATCTGCTGAGTTTTCCCAGCTCCCTCTGTTTTGTTTCAGATTTCCAGCATCTGCAGTATTTTGTGTTTTGTTCATAACTAACAGATATGATTGCTGTTTAATTGTTGCCTTCTTATATCTTAGACCATACCCATCAGCTTGATCTGCACTGTGCATTCCTTTAGTTTCCTATTTTTTGTGTTCTAACAAGTTTATGATCAGTGAAAGAGAGGGAGAACAAAATTGAAACTGTACTCCTTTTTGTCAAATGTTCATTTTCAAATGCAAAATTTTTTTTTGTGTGAAGATGGATGAAGCTCTCAACGCTGCTGAACAGGCAACTCGGCGCTTAGCGGAACTGAACCAGGAGGCAATAAACTACATGACTGCTCCAGCATTTAAAAAGGACAATAAGAAGTAAGTACAGTATTGCCCATTAAAAAGAGACCTGCTGCTTTGAAACTAATTTGTCCTTTTATCGAAGAATATGACAGCCAAACTATAACATTTGCAATTTACTAGCGTTTAAGCAAAACATTTAAAAGGGGAAAGGCGAGGGTAAAATTCTTGCCAATTTGATCCTTTAAAAGTTATGATCCCAGTAGGTGATTGTAACATGCACTTTGTGTCACAAATTAGAATGTAATAACCTAAAATAACTTATTTAAGATAATCTTATGATCTTGATCTTATGGAAACATATAAGATTCTTATGGGGCTTGACAGAGTAGACAGTGTGAGACTGTTTCCCCTGGTAGGAGAATTTATAACTAGGGTTCATGGTCTTAAGATTAAGGGTCAACCTTTTCGAACAGAGTTGAGGAAACACTTCTTCACTCAGAGAGTAGTGAATTTATGGAATTCTGTACCCCAGAAGGCTGTAGATGCTCAGTCCTTGAACATATTCAAGACTGAGATTGATAGATTTCTAAAGGATAGAGGGATTAAGGGATATGGACATAAGGCGGGCAGATGGAGTTAGGTTAGAAGATCAGCCAGGATCTTATTGAATGGTGGGGTAGGCTCGAGGGGCCGAATGGCCTATACCTACTCCTGCTCCTGATTCCTATGTTCCTATGTAATCATAAAATAATTAAAGGGGAAGGATAGAAAACAATCTTTTTATAGAGGGTGATTAGAATGTGGAATTCTCTGCTACGAACTGTTGTTGGAGACCATAAAATGATTTTAAAGGGAATTTAACAGATGGTCGAAAAGGAGCAATATTAAAGGTTACAGGAAGTGAGTAGGATTGGATTTGGTGACTCATGCAGATAGAAATGCCAGAACACACATGATGGGCCAAATGGTGTATTCTTGTGTTATAGCATCCTGTGATTTAGTGACCACGCCTACAAGATTTACACTAGCCAATTCCCTATTAATTGTATCTGTTTTGTTGGATGATATTGTCCTTGACGATCAGTGGTGCACTGACAGAGAAATGAGTCTATGTGGAACAAGTTGTGCCTATTTAATGTTCTATCACAAGATCGGTTCAGATGAAAATAGCCCTTTGGCCCAATTGATCTTAACCTTCCAGAATACCTACCCTATCACTCTCCCATCACAGCATTAAACTGTTTCTTAAATGAGCCCAGGGCCTGGCCTCAACCACCTTCCTGGTAATCTGTTCCAGATGTTAATTACCCTCTGAGTAAAGAAATGCTTCCTAGTCTCGATCACAGTTCATCAAGGCTCTGTTTATAAGATTATTCTGTTTGGTGACAACAACACATTTTAATGAGTCTCTGGTTTGCCTTCTGAGAGCCACACTAGAACCATGTACAAGTGCCTGGAACAAATGTTCACGTGTGGTCCGTCCCAAATCCCCATGTGTGTGTAAAAAAAAAAATGAGTTTGTTTTCTCAACTCCAAAATACACTTTTTCAGGAGTTTCCATTAATGTGAATTAACTTATTTAGGCTGAGTTAGGGTTCAGAATTTATTTCACTGGTTATAATAATAATCATTGCATTTGTTTCATTGTATATGAGCCATAACTTTCTCCAACTCAATGTTGATTAAACTGTGTCTATCCTTTTCAGCTCTCGCCAGTGCCTCCTCACCTCAGACACTGACTTTAACTACCTCCCTGGTTGCTCACTCTAACTCATGAAACCTGTCCAGGACCTCAGTGTTTTCTTTGACTTTCAATTCTCCTTCAAACCTTTTATCTGGGCTCTAGCCAAGTCCACTTTCTTCTATTTCCACAACACCACATGGCTCTGCCACTGTCTCACCCCTAATACTACACCACACTACTTCACATGGTCTTAGCCAAAAGGCCGAGAAGTGATAATACGGACAAAACCCTCATCTACACATCTTCAAACTCAACTTTTCTGAACTCTAGATCATACAAAACTCCACAGTCTCACCCACACTAAGCTCCATAACCGCTTCACCCCTATCCTCACCCAGCTCCACTGGCTTCTTATCCACTTATGGATCAATTTTAAGTTCCTCATCTTCAAATGTCGCCATGACCTTGCTACAGACTGTCTCAACAATCTCCTGTGACCCTACTTGCCTGTCCACTCCCTCAGGTCCACCAACTTCAGCCTCTCTTCTGCTCACCACATCACCAATAGGCAAGCTTTCAGCTACTATTCCCACGCCCTCTGTTCCCCCAAATCCCTTGGTCTCATTTACTCTGATTTCAAATCTTGTCTGAAGACTTACATCTTTGACTGCGCTTTCGAACACCTCCCCACCCCCTACCCCTCCCTCAGCTCACTTCCATGTGGGCTCTAAATGAGTCTTTGTAAAGCTCTTTGAGTTGTTCTCCCAATATGAAAGGTGCTCTATATATATTAATATTATATATAATATCTATCTATATTAGCATTCTCAAGCGCTTTTGGTCAGGCGCTATATCGAATGCAAGGATTATTATTATATTATTTATTATATATATGTATAAATTGTTATAGTGTGGAACATCTCAAAACGCTTCTCAGATAATTGATGTGTATTTCTGGGTCAATTTATCCATAGCAATCTCTGAATAGCCATGAAATGAATAACTTATTTATCTGGAGGACTGGTTACACTGTAATGCATTTAATGATTATATGTGACACTTCCTCAGTTTTCTCAGTTGATTTTTTTTTCTCCGTTGGCTATGGGTGAACTGGTCTCGATTTGGCCCAGATGGATGTGAACCTAGAAAACAAGTCAGATCTGATTGATCACACTGTGTGGCAGACTGAGCACCTGGGAGGGGGCTGCACTGAGCTGAGGTCTGCCTTAGTGTTTCTAGTATCTCTAGTGCCCATTTATACTCTGCATTTCACAGTAAGTAACCGTGAAAAATGCAGCCTAAATTTGAGTTGAGGTGAATTGCCATCTGAGATTGAATTATTCTGAAGTTCAGTTGCCAAGACTGCAACCCACTGCACCGCTCACCAACTTTTAAATGGACCATTTTTCAACATTATTAGAGAGTAAAATATTGGGTCTTTTATAACAATATCAACAACAACTTGTATAGCACCCTTCACGTGAGGCGTCGTCTCGCAACATTAAAATAAAAACAGCAATAAGCTGGGGAGGTTAAGTAGATCAGAGCTGCAGTTGAGGAGAGGTTGATGAGAGTCAAGGAGTATGGTTTCAGTCTTGTGAAAGTTGGTGCTCATCCAGGCCTTGATGTCTGACAAGCAAGAGAACAGAACATCAGTAGACCTTTGTTGAAGCTAGATGAGAATTAGATTTGGGTGTTGTCCACATACACGTGGAAGTTTACCCCATGTCTGTGGATAACATCACCAAGAGGGAGCATGTAAATGAGGAAAAGAAGGGAGCCAAAGATGGAGCCTTGGGGTATGCTGCAGGTAACCTGGTGAGGGCAGGAGGAAAAAATATTTGCAGAGACATAGTGAGGGTGCTAGATCAAGTAGGACTTGAACTAGGAGAGTGTGACTCCACTAAGGTGGATGAGGCAGGAGAGGTGGTCTAGAAGGATGGATGGTCAACTTGTGTCGAAAGCAGTGGAGGACAAGGAGACAGAGAGTGACGACGAGAGGACATAATTAAAATCAATTAACATTGGTTCGAAGAGCTCAGCACATGCACTTAATTCCAGATTTGGGGACCTCAACTCAGATCTATTAATCTGGAACAAGCTTGAGGATCTAATGGTCTCCTCCTATTCCTATACTGTATTTTCCTATGTTACTTAGTGCAGGACAATGCAGGAAGTCCAAATCCAATTGTCCCACTTCCCACCTCCTTTCTGCTGGAAAAGGTATTGCTTAACTTCAAGCAGCATAACAATGGCATTAAGTGAGCAACTGGTATGTGAAAGGTTACTATAGACCAGCCAATATTTAAAGTATACTTGCTATTGATATAGTGCCTTATCATGTCGTTGAGACGTCTCAAAGCGATTCACAGAATATACTGTAAAGGGAATCGACTGTATATTTTGTGCTGAAATGTATGGTGAAATGTACAGTACAATAGCCACATTCTTGTTGGGGATGTGTGGGAGGTGGGGCGGAGAGAAAGAAAACCTTTGAAATGCTATTGCAGAACATTCTCTAGGCAAAGGTTCCTTTAAATGCTTTTTTCCAAAAAGTATCATTATAGCAAAGATCATCCTGTGCTCCCAAAACATTGCCATATTGATGAGGTATTTTGCTTCAAGTAACTGCTTAAGTTGAAATTCAAGTACCTTTGTGGGTCATTGAGGATCGTGAGTATTTTCTCTGTTGGGAAGTAATATATTACCTCTTTCAGGCTAATAAATAAGTCAAGCAGAATTAATGATGGTGCAAATTGCAAATGGCAAGCTTTAAGCAGGCGGCTTTGTGCCAAATGACTTTTCCTTCTTCCTTGCTCTCTTGTGGTGTCCTAAGTTATTAGTTTAATTGCTTCCCCCCTCCCCCTGCCCAGCAGGACGGCAGACTGCTTTAATACTGAGAAACATAAGATCTATGGAAAAGGTGCTCAGTAGCTTTTTATGATAGTTGACATCTTGATTTCTGGCACTGTTGATGACACGTTGCTGGGCTGAAAGTATTTCAAAAAGGCCTGATTGTTTTTAACTTCTCAGCAGGGGCATACAGTGTGGGGGGAGAAGGGGTGGGAGGAGATTCTGAATACTTCCTGATCAAACTCTGTGACCAATTTCCCTACCCCCATATGCCATACACTGACATTCAGCTCCCTGGCTTACGCACGGTTTCCATGGAGCTGAACTGGCTCCAAGGTGACATGCCTGGCAATGGAATGTCGGATTCGAACCAGCCCTCTGTGGCGGTCTTCGTAGTCCGGTTCCTGAGCCAGGCCGGTCTACAGTATTCCAGGGCACTGCTGATGACAACACAGCCAGCCTAGCTCATCGTCAGGACTTGGAAGGGCAGACCAGTCACTGGGGACACGTAGTCATCCCACTCAGCTCCTGTGACTTCTCAAGCCAAAGCCCTAACAGTTAGGGTGGTCCTAGCTGGACTACGAGTGGGAAAACTAATATCAATGGCAAGCTAAGCTATGTCATATACCCGGCTGACCAAAAAAAAGCTCTGCCAGTGCACAGAGCAGAGCCTGAGGAAAATGACACTGCTCCATGCAAAATCTAATTAAATAATAATAATCCTTGCATTTGGTGAGTACCTTTCACATCTGGATGACTCAAAGCAGTCCACAGGATGTTGCAAGCTGTAGACAAATGCAGCAGCCAATTTACACACAGCAATGACCCGCAAACATCCATGACCTGAATGACCAGTTTTATCAGAGGGATTGTTAACCAGGACACAGCGAGAACTTCCTTCTATTTTTAAATAATGTCACAGGATCATTAACATCCACCTAAAAAAGCAGACAGGACCTTGGTTTAAAGTCTGATTCGAGGGATGACATCTCCAACAATGCAGAACGTTAGAGTGTCAGCCTATGAGTTCAAAGTACCCATTTGAGGGCTGAAGCCACAACCTTCTGACTAGTGAGAACGTTATCAACTTGAGTCAGGCTGGCATACATAATTGTCAGGAACATGCTAGTGGAGTAGCCAGGTGATGTCAGCTCTGCTGAGACTTAACCTAGCACATCCCCGCACTCCAGAACTACATTTTTGCAGAGTTGTTCTGTAATGTTCTGTATTGTTCAATATATGGTTAAGACTGTCTAAAAAATGTGATTTTGTTTCAAGTTATAATAATAATCCTGCATTTGATATAGTACGTTTTCATATCATGGAGGAATCTCAAAGCACTGAATAGGATATACTGTAAAGTGCAGTGAATGTGTATTATGTGGGTGAATGTGGCGGCCAGTTTGTGCACGGTAATGTCTCACAAAACAGCCAATTTTATTTGGGAAATTGTTGGCCAGGACACTGGGATAAACCACCTTCTCTTTTCAAATATTGCCTTGGGACTGTTATCTAAATTGTTTCATTTAATGGACTGTGTAAGGCAACCTCACTTTCTAACAAACATGACTGACCTCAGGCAGCTGCATAAAAAATGTCCTGTCCTATTAAGGAACTGCTGTCATCAATGATTAGCCACTTTCAAACATGCCTGGTCTTGTTTTACATTGTATCCTACAAACTAACTCAGAACATTAAATATTTTTTCTAATTCAAATTATTTTGTAAATGAGATTGCGAATGTCAACTCAGAACAATACTATTAGATGGGACAAGGCAGCAGAACACTAAGAAATATTTACTCAGAGAGTAATTAACTACAGGTTGCCAGGATAGGTATTTGAGGCCAGGATAGGTATTTGAGGCCAGGATGCTGGACTGATCTAAAAATCAGCTTGGAGCTGTAATGTTGTGACAGTAGAAAGAGTGTTCTGAAAGGATGAAAGGTTATAAGGAACTAACAGAGACTGGGGTGAGGATGGGCTCACAGCGCCTTGTGTGGGAGAGGATATAGGCTATGGAGCTTGTCGAGAGCTGAGCGGGTTCTTCCACAGATCATATCACAGCTTATCATTGTCCACACGACCATTCAATCTCCCGAGGGAAAATTCAGTACAAGCACTCCCTGGACCAAGAAACTCCAAAATGTCCCCAAAGTTACAAAATCATCCCCAAAACCAGCAACATTCAGCTATAGCCAGCTGCCTTCATGTCCTACACCTTGAAACGTTCACCGACCACCTCCATCCATATTGTTTAATAAAATCTTGCAAAGCGTGTGGAACTAAATCAATAACTAGGTCATGTGTGTTTTGGACTCCAGTTACTTAGGAACCTCCTGAATATCACAAAGAATGTTAATGTCAGACTGAAAGACTGATGTATGTAAAAGACTTGACTAATGCAGTTCCCATTGTCCTAGCTTTGTCTTTAATTTGCGGACGGGTGCTTGTTTATCACCCCTGAGAGCATGTTTGTAATTTAATGTGGGTGGAGAATTGCCCGCAAGCAGTACTTATTTAACTGGTAAAGTGCTTGACTGGAGATAAGGTGGGAAGGAAATGCAGTGGTGGATCATATCGCACAAAGCATTTCTACCCTACCCCTTTCCCCAATATGAATTCCCAAAGCACCACGCAACTCTGCCCCGTGTGAAGGGCAATATGTAAATGCAAGTTGTTGTTGTTGCTGAATTTGGATTTACAAAGCTGACTATACTATGAGATTTGCAGCATAAGAGACCCATACTTCACAGCAAACATAGTTTTACGTGCAAAATCAGAGGGTCATTCACTCACAGTTGATGTCTTCTCCCCAGTGATGGCAGAATTTAGCTGAGCAGCCAGGGGTGTGGGAGCAGACCATCTTGTTGTTAGAGGAAAGGGAGTGTTGTGGGAAACAAGAATAAGGAAGAACGTGAATTAAAACAATGTACTTTTTTTAAAAATGAATATTTTTTATAGTGTTGTTCTTTTATGTTTTGATATTTTGCTGGAAACACAATGTTTTTCCAAAATTGTATAATTTACTGTTACACTATTGTTATATTTGTGCCGAATCCTCTTTAGACACTGAAATAAATTATGTAAATGTCATAGTGACTAAGCTGAAGTTGTCTTGGTCATAGATGACAACTTTTCCTTTTCCATGTCAATGTGTTTTGGTATCTGCTGCTATTCTCATTTGCTTATAGACTGTAACGTGGAACAAGCTGCAGACACCGAGACCTCTAGAGGCTGATAGTGACATTACACGTAGAGAAATTTTAAGCACCACTGAATGAATACATGCATTGGAGATGTGCCCATGTCCGATAGTTTCTGAAAATCGTTTTAATTTATCAACCTAGTTTAAAAGCAATAATACATAGGTTCGCTTTAAACTGGTGACGCTGTGCACATTACAAAAATTGGATGGGGTGATAGGAAATACTTTTCTGTCCTTGTGAAATATGAAACATGTCCCATTTATTCTATAATAATAATCTTGCATTTGATATGGTGTTTTATTGAATGCCTCCAAGAGGTTCACAGAATTTACTGTGTAATGACTGTGTGTTTGTAGGTGAATGCAGCAGCCAATTTGCACATCGCAATGTCCCATAAACAGCCATGAAATGAATGACCAATTTTATCTGAGTGACTTGTTGGTAGTTTTACAGGAAGAAGCAAATTATAATAATGTTTGTTTTGTACTTTCAAATAATGTCAAGTGATGAGTAAAAGCCAGGTTGTTAGGTGAAGTTGACAATGGCTTGGGTTTCTTTTATTTCTAAAACTAGGGGTCAAAGTCTCGAGATTAAGGGTCAGCCTTTTCGAACTGAGTTGAGGAAACATTTCTTCACTCAGATGGTAGCAAATTTGTGGAATTCTCTACCCAGGAGGCTGTGGATGCTCAGTCCTAGAACATATTCAAGACTGAGGTTGATAGATTTCTAAAGGATAGAGGGATTAAGGGATATGGGGATAGGGCGGGTAAATGGAATTAAGTTAGAAGATCAGCCATGATCTTATTAAATGGCAGAGCAGGCTCGAGGGTTCGAATGGCCTACTCCTGCTCCTACATCTTATGGTCTTATTTATTCGTCCCATTAATTTCTTAAACATCTTATACTATTTCCTCACGGAGCGTGTTATTTGTCAAAACATGGAAAAGTATCTTATTTTCCAGGACTGACATCCTTCATCTTGATAAGCACACACACAAAACATCTTCAAACATTAATTTGGAGTCCTGTAGCTCAGTGGTTAGAGAACTCGCTTTGCAAGTGAGAGACCTGAGTTCAATTCCCGGCAGGGCGAAACCTTGGGCAAGTTTCCTTACTCCACACACCTAATAATAATCCCTCCAAAAACAATAATAAATTGGTCATTTTCAATCCATTCGCCCACAAATATACAGTCAATTCACTTTACAGTGTGTTCTGTGAAGCGCTTTGGGACGTCCTCCCGACGTGAAAAGCGCTATATCAAATGCAAGGATTATTATTATAGATTTTTTTTAATATTGACATTTTGACACTGTAGAGAACTAACAACAACAACTCGTATTTATATAGTGCCCTTCACGTCAGACTGCATACAACTGAGTTGTAAACCATGCATTTTAACTTAACACCTGGCAAAACTTCACATTTGTTTGAAAATTCTATTTTCCCTCTGTTTTTTAAAGTGAGTGACTATTCCTAGTTGAGATACATTCATGAGTTAAATATTATCTTAGCTCAAGGAATTCATAGAGCAGTATGCTTGTTCTCAGTGCATGCACCAAATTAAGTTACACTGATCAAATGATTTAATACTTTTAACAGGAGGAAACGCAAACTGGAGAAATCAGTGCACCAAGCAAAAGAAGAGATGCTGAAGTTAGCTGATCAACTCGTTTTAGCCCACTCGGGTAAGTGACTGTCTATTCCATACCATTTCATTTCGCTATTGCTAAAAAAAGCTGCAATAGAAATATAAAATAGATTCAGGTGCACTTTATTTTCAGAATTGTCAAACAGTGAATTATTTTTATACCATTTACAAGAAGCCAGAACATCAATTCAGGTAGAAAAAAGTCACCTTCAGCAATAGTTCACCTATAATGTATGCAGTCACCATACTTTACAATCAAGTCCTGTGAAGGGCTTTGAGGTGTCTCAATGACATAATAAAGCACTATATCAAATGCAAGGATTATTACTTCAAGTTTTTTTCCACTTTCTTCTCTCACAAATGGATACTCAGGTGGAGTTAAGCATCTTTAAAATTTAGTTTCCTGAAGCAGCTAACAGGCTATTTGTAAATTTGTTCTTTATTTTTTGTCATTTTTTTTTAGATTGGATTCAGACATGGTTAAGAACAGTGCCCAAAATTTTTCAATTTTTGTTCAGTTTAATTCACATGAAACAAATTCATATAGTTCCATTTTGCAATCGGGGTCAGATTATAAAGTATTGAATGCTATGTTCCAGGTTATGTTCATTATGTTTTCGCATTCACAGATTTGGAAGGAAAAGAACTAAAGATGAAGGAGATGATGAAACAGAATGAGCTAACGACTCTGGAATGTACGCAGTTTAAATCTCAGGCAGAAGTCGCAAAGGTTGATACTTCGTAAAAGCTTTTGCATGATTCTCTTTCGCTAATCATAATTTCGTGCATGAAACAGAGCAGTAACATTTTAGAAATGATGTCTTATCTTTTACAAAAATAATATGCATTTATATAGGACCATTGAATTGTATTGGGATCACAGTTTGCTTTGCCATTGAACCCACGTATCCGAATCCCAATATGTCAATTGCCTCCACTTTCCTCAGATCCTCCAATATTCTATTATAGAATCACTTTTTATGTAGAAGGAGCATCTCAAGGCACTTCATGAGAATAGGGATCACTGAGTAAAGGAGAGGGAATTTAAGGTTGTTGACAAATGGTATGATCAAATATTTTCTTTAAAAATGGTTTTGAGAGGAGAGGGAGAGGGTGAAAGTTTCTTCAGGAGAAAATTCCGCAAAGGATGAGCATGGGCATCGTAGTTGATGGTGAGATGGTGTGTGGAACCAAGAGTTGTAGTTAGATAATTTAGTCCACAGGGAAATAATGTTTGACATTCATTACAGTAAAAAAAACTGTGATGGTACAAGTGCAAACATTTAATGTGATAAGTCCAATCCAATCATGCTGATTTAATAGATAAGCTGTTCCTGTTGCATTTTGTCAGAAAAAAACAATTTGTTGGACTAAACCAGTAGGATTCAAATACCATAATCACAATTTAATCCTCTTACATCTGGGGTAAAAATTCCTCGATCTGTTTAATAGACTAAGTTCTTCATATTTTGATTAATAATAAAATGGCCTTAAATTTGTTTTCCTTTTCTTTACTTTCTCATGCTTTTTGTTATTTTTAACATGTTGAAATAAGCATCGGCCCCTGTTGAATTTTATATGAAATTGCCGTATTGCCTGGTAAAGAGTATCTCAAGGTCTGTAATTGATTTGAATGGGAAAACAAAATGCAATACTTAAAGTCTGGATAATGATTAGATGAATTTCCTTTGAAGGTACTTTGTTGATTTATGTGTTTCTGCACTGAATTTCTTTTACCCTGTAGTACACAGACATTTTTTATTACGTAACGTCTAAAAATGATTTTACACAGAACTGTTATGCTGTAAATTATAAAAGGAAAAAAGAATCTAACTCAACTGCAAGTGAAATACAGGCATGTTAAAAAAAAGAGAATTCATTCTGTGATTAAGTACTGGACAATCATCTCTCCTTGTGTTTATCATAAATAAATTACTATTAAGTTATAATATTTTGAGTTATATCTTTAGAGAGTGATTCTATCAATGCTATTATTATTATGAAGAAGAATCTTTGCATTTGATATTGTATCTTTTACATTGGGAGGATGTCTCAAAGCTTTTCACAAGATATTGTCACAGCCCTATTATTACAAAATGTTCCGAACAAAATGGACAGTATGCTGCTTCTCTGCAAAAAAAGCAAGTCCTGTGAATATGATATTTCGCAGTAATGTTTAACATCTTTTTCATCTTTGAGCGTGAAACTTTAAAAAAAAAGGAATACTTTCCTTTTCTCTCTTTCTGGATCTTGCCCTATCACAGACAGCAACCGGGGTGGTCTGCACCCGGAGGCCACAATGCTCCTCTGTTGCTCTCCGATTCTGGCTGCCAAGTTAAGTACAAGAGCACTTCCAATATTTTCCTCCCTGTGGGGATGTGGCTGACTTCTGCTCAGTGCCTTTACACAGCTGCACAGATCTGCACCACAGTTGTTTAAAATGGTAAACAAGCCAAACAAGTGGAGGAACTAATTTCATACTTAGAGCGCCATAGATATCTATTTATGTCACGTCGATCTTTCCCTGACATGTGTTTGCTTTTGCCCCCAACGACTCTGGACATTCCATAATAAATCTGGGTCAGAGATTGACAGGATCACTTCTTTTATGTGATCTTGCTGATCATCAACCTTTTAGCTCTTGATTGACTGTAAAATTAACCTACAATTGTACAGCCAGTAGGACTAGGGAAAAAAAGCATAGGAACATAGATTAAGAACAGGAATAGGCCATTCAGTCCATCAAGCCTACTCTGCCAATGGGCTATTCCTTGACTCACTTACTACAAATCACCCCTATCCCACCTACTGTCATGTCCCTTCATTTTTTTTACTCTTTTGAAAGTTTTAATGATTTGTTTTAAAAAGAACAAGCTAGTTATGTTCAAAATGCAAAATACTGCAGATGCTGGAAATCTGAAACAAAAACAGAAGTCACTGGGAACACTCGGCAGGTCAGGCAGCATCTATGGAGAAAGGAAAGTGAGTCAACATTTCAGGTCCATGACCCTTCATCAGACCTGGGACATGTTGGGAGAGAGAGGCTTTTAAGGGCAAACAGAGGGGAGGGAGGCAGGGCAAGGAAGACAAGAAGAAAATGGGGTAGAGGACAGGGGATGACGGGTTAAAGAGGAGTTGATGATGTAAAACAAAGCGGGGGAATAGGGGTGTTAATAATGCAAAACAAAGGGCGGGGGTGGGTTGGGGGGGATATTGCAACAGAATAGGCAGATCAGAGAGAGAAAAGGTGTGCCTGGGACCCAGGTGATATGATAATGGTCACAGAAGAGCGAGAGGGGGAAGGTGAGCTGTTATGGTCTGAAATTATTGAAATATTGAAATTATTGAAGCTTGTTATGTTCTATCCTTGTCATACCGAAAGATTTCAACACAGTTCACAAGTAAACCCTGTCAAATGTTATATGCCTTTTTTAAAGGCAAAAATAGAAACTTCAGAGGAAAGATGAGTTAAGGATAAGTTAAATGAGGTTAACAAAACTCAGTAAAATAAAAAAAGTAAAATTTGAAAAAATTGCTGACAGGGCGAGTTCAGATAATATATTATAAATGTTTTCTTTTTACTTTAAATTGTGGCTCTTATGATTCGACTGACATTGCTGCTCAGCTGTACAGATTCATATATATTTGGATAATTGGAAGGTGACTGGTAACCATGGCAATAGCCTGATGTCTGAGCACTCTTCTGGTACTGTGTGTTGGAAATGGGGGGAAAAAATTAACTCTGGATAGCATAACTCAAGAGGTCTGGAGAATCATTTTCCAAAGTATTGGAAGTTTAACATCTTAGAGTTTTGATTTTTGAAGATGTTTCTACCAATTTCCTTTTTGTGTGCAGGAGGATAGCAATATGGTAACAAGAGAAGCTGAATCCACTACAACATCGTTTAAGGAATGTGGACATTCCACAACTATTACGTGATGTGTGCTGTGCTTTGGAAGATAATTAAAAACTTGTTTTTACAAAATTACTTCCATAACTCTGAATACTGAGTTTTCCCAAGATATGCAATAATTTGAAGCGGTTATTGGGAATGAATGCCCAGTTTGATTTTATTTTGAAGCAGAGCTTAACATGACTGGTTTAATCAGAATTCCTTTGGTTCAAAGTCCAATTTTTGACCATTTAAGAAAAAGAATACAATGCAATAAGTTATTATCATTATAAATTTCTACAGCACCTTTCACATCAGGAGGACATCCCAAGATTCTTAACAAACCTGGCTTGGCAGTTGAGCTGCGGTGGGATCTGAGGGTGGAGAGATGGACCTTTAAAAGAGATGAGGGTGGGAGTTACTCAGAGGGACTCCGGGATGGAGTTCCAGCGAGTGGAGCCAGATAGGCTGAAAAAGTCTCACGATTATGTCAACTTTCCATTTTGTTTAGAATTTTTATTTTTAGATAATATTCTCTTGGCTTGTGTATTAATGTACACTTCAAAGTGGCAGATGATTTGCTTGTTCTCTGCCCTCCACCAATCACAGCAGAAATAGAAATAAAAAATGGCCCTTCAGCCCATTGACACAATGGGATGTCCTCCCGAAAGAAAGATGCTACATAAATGTAAAGTGTATTGTATTCTGTTACTGTATTTGATGTCATCTTTCCAGAATACCCACCCATACTTCTTCCCAATATGTCGTCAAGCTATTTCTTAAATGAGTTGAGGGTACCATCCTTGCTGGACATACTTCCTATTATTTGTCCTAAAAATTGTCCTTCACAATCCTGATCTGTGTCCACTTGTCCTATTGCTACCTTGGCGTGTATGGAATTCTATGACCTGCTTCTATGAAGGGTGTCCATTTTAAGACCAGAAATGTGTTCTTTAATGGGACAGTGGGAGAATTACATGTAAAAAAAAACACTAACTTAAGAAAACATGTCAGTCTCCTCATGGTACCTCTCTTTTGTGATTCACCTGTAATTCACCTAAGAAGTGATGTTGGTTACGAGATGATGACCCAGAGGTTGTTACCTGTGGATACCGGCCGGTGTTTGAAGCAAGCCAGCAGGATTTCTGTGCACATGGACAAGGAATGCAGAAACACTGACCAGCAATCATTCCCCATTATAATTGGGATTTTGTGGACCCCAATTATCATACTACAATAGGGCTCTATATACATTCAGTTGAATAAACGCTCCTCATTGGGCGTAGAAGGCTAAAAGGCAGAAGTGGAATGTATATTCCGGCTTCATAGAGCTCACCAATGAGAACAACATTGGAAATGGATGTTCATTTCCAGCATTTTTCTGGTTTAAAGTCATATTTTTAAACAATTGCATGGGAAAGGTGCTGTAGAAATGTAATTTGTTGTTGTTTCTTTTTATCTCGGGATTTGCTCATCTTGAATTAATCAGACTCGCACATAACTAAGATGTATTCATCGATACCCATTACTTTACCGTAAATCCTGTGATGCGCTTTGAGACATCTCAATGATGTGATAAGGTGCTGTATCAAATGCAAGGATTATTATTGTTATATTATTATCCCCAGGATCCATTACATGTTATTCTCTCATCAAAGGAAAATCTCTCTTATATTAATGTAACATTAAGAAAAGTTTTTGTCACTTAGTCTGAAAGTCTACATTTGTAACTAGCTAATTTGGTTTCTGTTGTCAGAAAGATGTGGAAAAAGGTCAACGGGAATTGGATTCGCAGAAGATTTTACTGGACTGTCAGAACAAACTGCACAGCAGCCAGTTGGAGGAACTAAGAAGACAACTTCAGGAAGCACTTGAGCAAAATGAAAAACTGAAGTCAGATTATTCCTCAGACACATCGGTATGACTCTTTGAATAAAACAAGATTATTTGTAAAGATAAATATTAGTTTATCAATTGGTAAACATTGAAAAAATATGCAGATTAGGTGACAATTTGTTTAAATTACATAGGAATTAATGTACAGAACCAGGAAACACTAGCATGATCCATCTGACTTATCCCAAGATATTTTAAAACCTACATTACCCTTTTCACACCCTTCAATCTATTTCTTCAGCATCCAAATAGCCATCCAATTTCTTGTTGAATTTGTTGACATAATCCATTTCTATTGTCTCCCCGAGTAATCTAATTCACATCCCTCTCTATTTACCGCAGGCTGGATCTTAATATTCCTTTACTCTATTTCTAACCAAGGGCATAAATGTACTTTAAAGAAACAAAACATTAATTGAGCAAACAAGGTTATTATTGATTTTGAAATTTACCATGAAAATACTAAGTATTTATGGGGGTGGGAAAGATGACAAAGGCAAATGGTCAAAGGGGAAGATCTTCAGAGGACCTTGAAGAAAGTGAGGGAAGGGGCAAGGTGAAGACACTCTGAGATGGAATTACGAGGGTGGGGGCAGACTTTGAAGACCCGACCACCAATGATGGGGTGGCAGGGCAGGGTACATAAAGCAGCCTCTGGGGGATGGGAAATCAGTGGAGCCAGGCAAGCATGTGGGTGGGGTGGACGGGGGATAGGCTTGCGGCACCTAGTGCGGAAGAGGACACAAGCTGCAGATTTCTAAATAATCTGCAACTTGTGGAGGGAAGAGTCGGGAAGTCTGGTGAGCAGGGAGTTAGCAGAGTTAAGCTTAGTCACTATAAAAGCTTAGATGAGGGTCTCAGCAGCCCAAAGGGAGAGGTAGTGACAGACGGGCAATATCGTGGAGGTGGGGGAATAGCTGAATGGGTTAAGGCATAGATTTGGGATTTAAAGGACAATTGAGAGTCAAACAAAACATTAAGGTTCGGTACTGGCTCAGTGAGGTGTAGAGTGGATCCCCATGTATAGTGATGCTGTCAGTGCCTGAGGTGTGGAGGCCCTGATGGGAGCCAAGCAGGAGAGCCTCCATCATGTTGACATTCAACTGGATTGGCTCTCATCCAGGACTTGATATCTGACAGGCAGTCGGTCAGGACACCAGTGGTCCTGGAGTCGAGGGTGGAGGCAGAGAGATTGAGTTGGCTGTCATCCGCATACATGTGGAAGTTAACCCCATGTCTGCAGATGACATCACCGAGCAGGAGCATTTAAATATTAAAAAGGAGTGGACCGAGGATAGAGCTCTGAAGAATGCAGCATGTGACAGCGCGGGTTGGGAGGAGAAGCAGTTGGCAGATACAAAGTAGTGACATTGGGAAATGTAAGAGAGGTAACAGAGCTCTCGGAGTATTATTACCTTCATTTACTTGGACTAAATATCGACAGTGTCTAATGCTGGAATTACCATTGAACATTGTAACGGGTATTTTAGCTGTGAGCTTGATTGTCCTTTAATCAGTTTACAGTAGCCATTATCTCCAGCCAAGTGGAAACAATTTTATTGCCTAAACAAAGTGAGCAGCTGGATAAATACGATTAAATCGTTTATTTCAAATACAGGCATTAATACAGGCAGTAAAAATCCATGCCTCATCCAAGCAAAAGCATAATACTCTATACCAAAAACTGCTTTTCCATTTATCTAATTTATATAGACTTCACATTATGTCTGAGATTTTCTATTTTTGTCTGGTTCATTCATATAAAAATGATATCCAATCTACCTGCACATTTCTTTGTGTAAACTACATCCTCAAAATATGCACAATATTTATATGTGCAATGCAATGAGCATTGTGTACTTTCTTTCCAACGTAACTTACAAGATATTGATGCAATTAGTCCTGTGTTTATACATTTGAGTAGAATATCCACACCTAGCAAGACATTCTCGCTATCTAAAAAACAGAAATGAATGAAAGGTTATTTTAAAAAACATTAGGAAAAACTAATTCAACAGTCGATAAATGTTTTCAATAATGTACCAACCAATGTGATCCAGCCTAGAACATTTGGGTTATTGGAAATACAATTAGATTTTATGATGGGAGATGTACTGGAAGAATACGTTCTCGTAGCCTGAATGATATTTTGTGAATCCTAACTTGTCTTACATTGGGCAATGCAAAGGTTACTTCTCGGCCTGTTACTGTCCATCATTGCTTGATTCTTATCACAGCTGTTCTCTCTTCCACCACTAGGCGGAGTAATTGTTAAGCAACACAAACATTGGGGTTACAAACTACAACTTTCATAACAGATTCAAAGTGATAGTTATGAAACATCTTACTTCACCACATCGCCGTCAAGCTTTCACTTTCACTTCATCATAAAAAATGTATTTATGCAAAAATGTATACCGTTACTTAATTGCCATATATATAATATGTACATGTTAAAAATCTGCCAATATCAAATTAATACATAGTACTGTGGCACTTTAACTTCCTAAGGACAAATTGGTCAGTTTTTTTAATATAAAAAAATTAAAACCACAATTCAACACTTCAGAATGTCTGTAAATATGAATGATCTTTTTTGAACCTAATTACTAGATATTTAAAATCAATTTAAAATAAAATGTGCACATAAGAACCATCTACAGTCTTGATGAATGTCTGAGAAATGTGACTAATTTTACTCACAGTAATTATAGTTTGTGATGGTGGAGCTTTGAATTGCAAATTCTTTTTGTTAATGTTTAATTGCATGTCACGTTTACCAACTGTTTTGTTTCCTTGTGATGTAGGAAAAAGAGAATCAAGAAAAACCTCTGAGTGAACAGCAGGATGAATCCAAAGGTATGGGATTCATATCCTGCCCCATTGTAGCTTTAACCAGCAAATATTGTTTGAGTTACTGGACTGTGCCGTAAGTGAGGCTCAGGTATTAAATCTGTGTCTGTCTGGCTCAGTTGGCAATCTTGCCTCTAAGTCAGAAGATTGTGGTTTCAAACACCACAACAGGATTTTGAACTCATATAGTCCAGACTGAACCTCTGAAGCTGTGCTGGAGATGTACTGCTTTGTCAGATGAGACTTTAAACCAAGGTCATATCTACCTGTTCAGCTGGGCATTAAAGATCCCATGGCGCTATTCAAAAAGAGAAGGGAGTTTCTCCCGATGTCCTGGGTAACAATCCCTCACATAAAATTCACTTCATAGCTGTTTGGGGGGCATTACTATGGACAAATTAACTCCATGTCTCGCCACAAAATATATAAATCCTGTATATATATAGTCAGTGATTAGAGCACTCGCTTTGCAAGTGAGAGACCTGAGTTCAATTCCAGGCAGGGCGAAACCTTGGGCAAGTTTCCTTACTCCACACAGAGCCTAATAATAATCCCTCCAAAACAAAACAATAATAAATTGGTCATTTTCAATCTACGACTGTTTGTGGGACACTGCTGTGGCAATTGGCTGCCGCGTTCTCCCACAAATATACAGTCAATTCACTTTACAGTGTGTTCTGTGAAGCGCTTTGGGACGTCCTCCCGACGTGAAAAGCGCTATATCAAATGCAAGGATTATTATTATTATTAAATGCCTGCGATGCTACATTGGCTACACAAGAGGTGTAGAAATAAGTGTCTAAATAAATGATGGATGTAGAATCCTTCCTTAAAAATGTCTGAATCATAGCTGAATTATCATTTACATGAGTGCTTGTGAAGCTAGTCAATATGTGTAAAAGAGCCAGTATCTCCTACCACCCACACACCCCCTCCCAATCAGTTGTTCACTTTGGGGAACCTGCTGCAACATTTCACCACCGTATTTTCTCCTTATGTGATCTATTCTTAGTACACATTTTAAAACTGAATGAGTCATAATCAAAACTTCATGGTACTTTTTCTGCAGGGGCACTGCTGCCTTACGATGGTCTTTTCCCCAAGTATTCTTTGCATAATACATTCTTGTGTTGCGCACACCTTTTGACTGAGATATTCAGAACAATTTTTTAAATATTAAGCTGTGTCATACTGAGTTTACTCCAGCAGTGTAGATATAAGTCCTTCACTGAGTAAAACTTGTAGCTCCAGCTGAATCTGCCACCGAATGTACAGGACAACCAAAGTTAACTGGTTTCGCCCCATCACCTCAAACAATGGCTTCAATTGATTGAAGCCCACACGGGTATTTGCATTCAAGCTGAATTCAACTTTTATGGGAGAAATTCTCTGCCAGGAGGCACACTGTCAGTGACTGTACAATGATCTCTACCAGGAGTTACACTGTCAGTGACTGTACAATGATCTCTACCAGGAGTTACACTGTCAGTGACTGTACAATGATCTCTACCAGGAGTTACACTGTCAGTGACTGTACAATGATCTCTACCAGGAGGCACACTGTCAGTGACTGTACAATGAGTCAATTAACCACCCTTCGATATTCAGAATCGAAATTTGGAAATATCATATTGAATCCGAATTATAATTATTGTAAATTAGACCACAAATAGGAAGTATCCTTCTCCAGCCACAAATATCCTTAGTGCAAGGTTGCTTGCTCTATCTCCCCCTTTACAATATATTCTGTAAAGCGCTTTTAGACATCTCGGAGACATGATAATGCGCTATATCAAATGTAAGGATTATTATTCTTATCACGTTGTTGAGATGTCTCAAAGCTTCCATTATCAGCTGTCCTCACAAACTTCTCTGTTCCCAGGAAAACAGCCCTAATTTCTTCAATCATTCCTCATAAGTAAGTTCTCTTATCCCTGCTATCATCAAAGTAAATCTCCTCTGCACCTTGCCTATGGTCTTGCTATCCTTCCTACAGTGAAGTGCCTAATTGAGAGGCTTCTTGAGATCTCTGGCTGATGACAAATTTTTGTTTAGCTATACAGTCACCGGATTGACTACAGCAATACTTTGTGCTATCCTGACCAGTAGACACAGATATCTATCAGTCAAGTCCTGGGGGTTTAGTGTTCACATTAGTGCAAAATAATAATTCATGCTACTTATGATTGGTGAATATTGCCAATGTTCCGATTGTATTTTTTACTGTGTAAGTAATAATCCTTGCATTTCATATCACGCCTTATCACATCGTCAGAATGTCTCAGGAATTACTGTAAAGTATTGTGACTGTGCATTTTGTGGACAAATGTGGCAGCCAATTTATGACCAGCAATGTCCTACAGACAGCAATGGAATGAGTGCCCAATTTTATTTGAGGGTTTATTGGCCAAGACTCCAGGAGAAACTCTCTTCTCTTTCTGAATAGTGCAATGGGATCTTTAACATCCTCCTGAACAGACAATTGGAACTTCAGTTTAATGTCTGATCTAAAGGATGGCACCTTCATCAATGCAACATACTCCCAGCACCGACCACAGTGTCATCTTAGACTATGAACTGAAAGTCCCGACATGGGGATTAACCCCAGAACCTTTTGATTCAGAGCTGAGAGCTGACTGAGCCAGACTGACACCTGGCTGACTGATCAGCTAAAGACCCCTGTGTAGCTGTTAGTTGGCATCAAATTGCTGCTTCTTCAAACTCAACCCTTTTGTTCTAACATAGAGCGACATGCAATTGGTTAAAAAAAACACAACCTACAGTGGTTCCTATTTGGACTGAAAATAGAAGTCAGCATTCTTTCACTGATACTAGTTCATAGATTGATACTGTGCCAAAGTAGAATACATTAATGAGGTGAGGTTTGTGAGGTCCGTATTGAAGATAATACATTGCTTTCATTAAAATGCAATCTGCATGGACTATATCCACCAACACTAGAAACTCTTCAGTTGTCACGTTTATCTAAGGAAGGGGAGCAGGCCACTACATTTTAATCACTGGAGTTTGTCAGGAACGAAAAACAGCTAGCTTCCCACAAATCAACAGACATGTACCCTGATAAGAAGATTGAGTTCGAAAAGCCCTGTTACGCCCTATTGCAGGGCCTATTCCAGTCTGATCAAAGAGCTTTAATTTGCAGCAGATAAATGTAATGCATTAAGGCCACGTATGGCACTGGCTATGATGAGAAAAGTAGGTGCCGGCAAGCTGGTGTCACTTATGATGTATAATATTTATTCAGGGATGACCTACATCTAAAATAGTTCATAAACCAGCACATTGAGCACCCAGTGCTATCTTAACCATATGCTGTTAAACAGGAATAATTCAGCAGTGTCACACAGGGCACATTGGCAGACTGTGTTATCTTTGCACATTAGCTTTATTAGCTCACTTCATTTTCAATGTTTAAATTCCATCAATCAGTCATGATCCTGGTATCAAGTCGCTTTAAAAAATGTTTTCAGAACTTGGTGAATCCTTTCAGAATTGTAACTTTTATGAATATCCATGACTTTAAGTTTCTAGTGTTTTTTTTTGGTGGCCACAACACCAGGGGGAACTCTTTTTCTTTTCAAATAGCTCCAGGAACCTTTAATGTCCACCTGAACAGGCAGGCAGAACCTTGGTTTAACATTTCACCCAAGGCCGGCACTGCAGCACTACCCTGATACTGCATTGAAGGGTCAGCCTCGACAATATGAATTCAGGGTCCTGACTGGGGACTTGAACTTATGCACCCAAGTTTTAGCTGTGTGTGTATGAGTGAGGGCACTTTCCAATAGCTTCTCCTCTATGATTGTCCCACGCAGGTGAGTTATTCCAAGACTCATTTGCTTATGGTTTTGGAGTCCTGTAGCTTAGTGGTTAGAGCGCTCGCCTCACAAAGCGAGAGGGTTCGAATCCCACCCGGGGCAAAACATTGGGCAAGTTTCCTTACTCCATTTGCCTCTGTTTACCTAGCAGTAAGTAGAAACATGGTTGTTAGTCGATTGGCAGATCGCTTTTCCGGGGGTAATAATCCCTTCAAAATAAATTTAAAAATAAATAATAATTGTCGCTCAATCCCTGACTGTTTGTGGGACACTGCTGTGAGCAATTGGCTGCTGCACTTTGACCACAAAATATACAGCCAATTCACTTTACACTATATTCTGTGAAAGGCTTTGAGATGTATCAAAGTTGTGATAAGCCACTGTATCAAATGCAAGGATTATTATTATTATCAGTACATGGAGGAAGCAGCGCAAGAGGGCATCAGCCAATGACAGTACAGTAAACATTTTTAATGACAGGCAGGCAAGAATCCAAGAATGAGGAATTACTTTTGTAAGTGGTTCTATATTATCAATGAACTAATAGTTGCTCTGGCTTTGATTCACAGTCTTTTATTGCATAAGTAATTAGCATCTGAAGCATTATCTGGACTAAACATTTGAAGATGTTTGCCTCTGGGTTTTCGAAACTGCCCCATTTACGTTGAAGCACTAAATACTCCATCCAGGCCTCTCCTGAGTAATGTGACCACCCATCCAACCAATGTCTTTCTTCCCTCGTCCCACTTGCTGCCAGTCTTTCTTTAAATATGTCGTTGTATATCTGAGTTCACAAATGTGAGGCAAATTGATGGCTCGGATATTATGACCAAAAGAGTGCTAAAATTAAAAGATGCAAAAAATGATCTCTTGAGATGTTTTAAATTCTACTTACCTCTCTTGTAGCTTCTTGCGATGGCTTTCCCTTTTCATGGTGCCTCAGATGTAAGATTTAAAACATCTCCTAAAAACTCATTTTTTGCAACTTTTAATAGTTGCAAAAAAGTCTGACTGTTCAGGTAGATGTTAAAGATCCCATGGCATTATCTGGCAAGAGAAGGGAGTTTCTCTCAATCCCCCAGATAAATTGGTGATTCCAATTACCACAATTTTCGTCCACAAATATACAGTCAATTCGCTTTACAGTATATTCTGTGAAGCCCTTCA